AAGGACATGGGTAAATTTGTTAATCTTTGAGAGTTTTTCTACTCTTTATATTTGGACATTTGAAATAAAAATACATTAAAGTACTTTCAATTTTTCTAAAGATACTGTATATGGGGATGAAAATTTCAAACTTATTTGGCAATACTCAGAGAAAAACTGTTTCAGATATTTTTTGATTGACTATTTTGAGACCTTGGGCTACGGACTATACATATAGTATTTTCATTGAATGAGAGACCACAGAAAAATAGTTGCTTTTTTCAGTAAATATTTGTTAAAATTATCATCTTGGAGTTCACAACACGCATTTAATAAATCCTTTTATTTGGATATTAAATCAATTTATACAAAATCCTGTGAAATTTAACAAAATAAAACAAAAACTTTATATAAATTCACAATAAGAGTAAAATAGAAATAGTCAGAACAAAATAATACATGTCAAAATTACATGTAATGGGTGTTTTGATAATAAAATATTGTTTAAAACCATCTTAAGACCAAGAATGAGCTTTAATTTAGCATTTAAGAAGGATGAATTTCATGAGTACGGGGGCTACGGACTATACCGTTAAACATCTCTATTGTGGACAATCAACTTAAAGAAAATTTAATTGTTTAATTACATTTTGGGCATTTTTTTTTATTAATTGGTTTTCTATAACATTTCACACCACTTAGTTTGAGTATTTATAATATCATACTTAAAAATCATTTGTCTAATGTACTGTGTACTTTCAATGCCAAATGAAATTCCAGTTCAACTAATTAAAGCATATATGGTGTTCAAACTATAATGAATAAAAGCAACAGGAGCTGAAATTAAATCAAGGCTTGATTTGTGTGTGTGTGGGGGTGTTACGGACTATACTGCTTCATTTTTTTTTCTCGATTTAATGTAATGCATTTAACTCAAGATGGTCATTCAAAAGGTGTATCAGTATATAATTTATCATAATCATATGGTGTAATTCAAAAAAAAAAAAAAAAAAAAAAAAAAAAAAAAAAATTGCAAAACATGATTGACCATTTGAAGTAAAAAACATAATAGTACAATATTTACCCATAAAGAATCAATGCTTTTTTTTTTTAAATTAACAATTCAGTGACAAGTAGATTGGGGGCACAATTATAAGAGTGAAGGCCTCACTTTGTACTAAATTGTAAAGTAAGGAGTTGATCCTTATGTTTTGGGATCAAATCCCACAATGGATGTTAAGACTGGTCGATGAGAACTAATAAACCATTGAATCCCCATTTTGCAGTAGATACAAGTAGGAAAAAAATCTCTTGCTAATACAGAAGTGCGGTTATATGGTCTGTAAATTTGCTAAATTTATTTGTAGAGTCCGTAGCCCTTTTGTAAGTAGGATTTTTGTAGCTAAATATTCTTTTAAAAATATTCCAATGCTAATCATTGTAAATGGATTGATAGTATGTATCACAAGAAGGAATAATTTATCATGTATATGTAGAAATATGTTGTGACCACAAACTACAATAGGAGGCTACAGAAGCAAGCCTTTACTTTAAAAATGTTAATTTTCAGATATTTAAATTTTAATTAGTGGTATTTTTATTTAAAAATATTGCATTTGTTCGAATAAACATATTTTTGCATTGTAGTTATTGTATCAATAATGTATATGGCTTTTTCTGGAAGTTATTATCTTGGGGCTACGGACTATACAGGGCTACGGACACCAATCATTCTTCTATAACTTCTTTTGGTGTTAGCGCAAAAGCTATTCATTACTGTTTTTTACTTTTCGGTAACTGTGAAAATATTAAACAAGAGCATGATTAATTCTACATTCTTTTGTTGAACACAAACTATAATAAAATATGGGGCTACGGACTATACAAAATATTAGACCAGTATGGAAAATAAAATACAAAATGCGCACACATTTTACAATATAACCACTATATTTTTCTCAAAGTACTTTTTTTCTTAAGTTAAATAAAAAAATTTAAACAAATTATATTTGCTCTTTTTTGATAGAAATTATGCATTTATTCAAACATTGATAAATCTTTAATTTTATAACAAAGGTATATCTGCACACATTTATTCATAATTTCCACAATTTTTATCCTTTTTCTTTTCTGTAAGAAATAAACTTAACCAGAATGATTTCTCTATAATAAAGTACATTTATTTTGGAATGTTTCATTCAAAATAATTTTAAATAACCATTATTTAAAATGTAAAAAGTCAACTGCAACAGCATAACGCTTCAAAAATCATAAATCTTTGACTTTATTCTGTTGTTTTTTCAAAAATGCAGATACTATATATGTGATATTATATACCAATGGAAAGCTCTCATTCTGCTCTTTGCAATGCAACAAAAGTCATTTAGTTTACATGTAACTATAAAGAGTTACATCTATATAACATCATTTTGTTGGAAATGGGCACCTGATCTTGGCCAAGCCGTTTAATAAATCTGGTATAGGCTAATCAGAGAGTTTACGTATTGTTTTTCATCTTATAAAAAATTTAAAAGTCTTGTGCAGAAATGTCCAAAATGACCTTTTGACGTGAAACTACAAAGAATTACTGTTATGACACCTAAACTTATTGTTATAATTGTACATATAATAGCGAAGAATTGCAGATTTCAATATATTAGAGAAACAAAATAGCGACTTTAGTATCCCATATATATAATTGGACCTCCCAGTGAGTACATGTACGTATACCCGGATAACCGGGTACTCTTTGGTAGCCATAGGTAATTAATGTTAAATGAAACAGCACATGTTTAGCTTTAATGCTACACCTAATAGTATATTCATATAGCTGTACAGAAAATTATATATAGAGATTTATTTTACTTCTTGTTTTAAATGGTTGATTGCATTCCTCACTATTGCCGTACTTTGATGGATGTCATATGAAAAACACAGCAACATTTTTGAAAGGGGGAGGGGGCAGAGAAAATTAAAATTCAACTTACCTGAAAATACCTTACAAACAAAAAATAAATAAATAAATAAAAATAAATAAATAAAAAATAAAAAAGGAGAATTGTCCATACTCGAAAATCCTATTTCGTGGGAGGGGATGGGACAGGTTCCAAATTCTTTCAGTACCAAATTTTATTCATACACTCCTACATTATACCCTCATTTGGCTATACTACTACAAAAAGTATGGGGGACCAGCCTTTCAATGAACAATTTCAATAGTAAAAAAGTTGTTTTGAAAGAGTTGGTGTGGGGGGTGGGTGGGGGTGGGAAGCCAGCCCCCCCCCCCCCCCCCGATGTTAAGTGCCTGAAACTTTGCAAGCTATGTAAATTACTGCTGGAGTATTTTGAATTAAAAACCCTTTAAGGACCAACATAAGGAAAGCAATAACTTAAATACTAGTAAGTGCATGCCTCTAGCCAACTATTTTTCTGGCACTATCATATTGTGTCTTACATGGATTATAATTTCACATCGTTAAGATCTATTAATTGCTACAAACTATAAATCATTCAGAATTACTGCTACAAACTATAAATCATTCAGAATTACTGCTACAAACTATAAATCATTCAGAATTACTGCTACAAACTATAAATCATTCAGAATTATTGCTACAAACTATAAATCATTCAGAATTACTGCTACAAACTATAAATCATTCAGAATTACTGCTACAAACTATAAATCATTCAGAATTACTGCTACAAACTATAAATCATTCAGAATTATTGCTACAAACTATCTATCATTCAGAATTATTGCTACAAACTATCAATCATTCAGAATTACTGCTACAAACTATCAATCATTCAGAATTACTGCTACTAACTATCAATCATTCAGAATTATTGCTACTAACTATCAATCATTCAGAATTACTGCTACAAACTATCAATCATTCAGAATTACTGCTACAAACTATCAATCATTCAGAATTACTGCTACAAACTATTAATCATTCAGAATTACTGCTACAAACTATAAATCATTCAGAATTATTGCTACAAACTATAAATCATTCAGAATTATTGCTACAAACTATAAATCATTCAGAATTATTGCTACAAACTATAAATCATTCAGAATTACTGCTACAAACTATAAATCATTCAGAATTACTGCTACAAACTATAAATCATTCAGAATTATTGCTACAAACTATAAATCATTCAGAATTATTGCTACAAACTATAAATCATTCAGAATTACTGCTACAAACTATAAATCATTCAGAATTATTGCTACAAACTATAAATCATTCAGAAGTATTGCTACAAACTATAAATCATTCAGAATTATTGCTACAAACTATGAAATTATGAACTATGCATTTTCATAATAGTTTCTTTAATACATGTAATTTCTTTTATTGTAAACATTACTGACACTAAGTATGCAAAGGGAACAGTCTTTATCCTGCCTTATAAGATGTGAGTAAGAGAGAATTACATAAAGTATGGCTGTAAAGTATGAAAAGAAAATACCTGCATTGAAATCTAATAAAGATCCTGGATATTACACAAATCTTCAGTACATGTGATTGTCCAATCAAAATTATACTTTATGATTACCAAGAAAAAGGAGATGTTTAGCAATTCAGTGCCTTTATACAATTTGCAGTACTGATATCCAAATTTTGAAAGATGTTAAAGTATACAATGTAGAATAGATACGTTTAGGCATTCTATGTGTTGAGTCTGCTGTTTTTCAAACTATATGTATGTATTTATTTTAATGCAACAAAAAAGAATGAATTATAAACAGTTTGCCTTATAGTAAAGACCTTTTTTGTTTCCGTTTAACAAGAAACATGGTTCTTTATGATATGGGTACTAGTATATTAAAAGTAAGCATTTAATCCCATATGAGTATATCAAAATATCTAACGTTTGCACATGCACTTATATTTTCCAGAGATATTTGAAACGAGAGAGAGAGAGAGAGAGAGAGAGAGAGAGAGAGAGAGAGAGAGAGAGAGAGTTGGCATAAAAAATATGATGCTCTTTCGCATTTTGTTTAGAAGTCCATGATATCTCTGCCAGTTATTTTCATAAGTACTGCTATACTGGTAGGGTTTCTGGCAATGTTTTGGACACGTGACAACAGGAATCTTCCGCCGAGGGAACCTGGACGTCTGCTCGTTGGAAACGTAGACATTAAACCAGATGCTTCTATGCTACTGTATGCTATTTGACTTTTTATCTTGAACATTTAAAACTATGCAATGTATATGTAGTTGTGAACATGAATTTTATTAAAAAAAATTACAAATGAAATAATCGATAAATGGAATATATATATATATATATATATATATATATATATATATATATATATATATATATATATATATATATATATATATATATATATATATATATATATATATATATATATATATATATATATATATATATATACTGTATCTAGCTAATCCTTTCAAATTTGGCAGTACATGGATAGACATGAAAAGAGAACAAACATCAAAATTTTTTGGATGTAATTCTTAAACATATATTTTCCCCACAGCGACCTACAGAAGAAACATGGTGATTTGATAACGCTGAAGGTTTTTGGTCAAACTATCATTGTTGTTTGTGGCTATGACACTCTCAGAGAAGTTCTTGTCCAGCATGGCGAGTCAACATCTGCCCACCCTGCAACTTTTGGATTTTCGGAATATTTTGAACTAACAGGTAACTTGCATCATACTTGAGATGTTAAGCTATCTGTTTTTTCGGGCATAGGGCATTTTGGTCTACTTATCTAATAATGAAATTATATAATTCAATAATTTAAAAAAATGACATAATCTAATATCCTCCAACATCCCCCTCTCCAAAAAGAAAAAAAAAAACACTCCCAAGACAAAACAAAACAAAATAACAAAACATCAATATAAGATAACGTGTGTATTACTTACATGTACAAAACAAACTTAAATATATGATAATGTTCATGTACATTACATTTTGTCCACGGGAGCATTATTTACGCTAAATTTCAACTTGAGAGATTGTCTCTGTACGATTTGCTTATTTCTTTAAAACAGAAAGTATACCCTAATTAATATTACAGAAAGTATAATACTTAGTATAATGAATATTTTCAACCGGCCCTCGAAAACCATTGTTGACCTCAGCTTCGTGTCGTTCAATCATGGTTTTCTTGGGGTGACAATTTGCAATGTTATCCCCCTAACATACTCATAGTACCTACAATTATTACTTATTCATAGGTATTGCTGGGGGATCTGGCACAATTTGGAGGAATCAACGAAAATTTGGACATGACACATTGCAGGCCATTGATTCCGGGAGTAATAATCTCGAGTCCCGGGTTTTAGAAGAAGTATCGGACTTTCTCAAGGAGATAGACAAAATGGAAGGTCAACCATTTGATGTCAGCAGGCTCATCAAAACAAGTCATTACAACATTATATCATCTCTCATATTTGGACACAGATTTGAACACGACAACGCCACTCTCACAAGACTCGTGGATTTAGTCGACGAAGCTATGGATATATTTCCTGACCAGGGAATTCTGAACTTTTTGGAATGGCTAAAATACGTACCAGGGGATCCATTCAAAGTTAGAAGGAGACGATTCTTGGTTGATGAAATCTTCAAAATTGTTCAAAAGTCAGTTGACGAGCACAAAGAAACACTTGAAAATCCAAAGTCCTCCGATTTTATTTATAGTTTTTTGAACGAACAGAAAAAGAGGAAATTAAATAATGAAAGTTTGGAAGGTTTTGGAGGTAAGTAACTCCATCCTTATCTCTCTCTCTCTCTGTCTCTCTCTCTCTCATTTCAATTATGTCATATAAAAAACAAGCATTCTGAGAGTATTCAGGCGCGTAGCCAGCATGGAAATGAAGTGTACGCAGAGAACGGTCGGGGGTCTGGGGGCCGCCGTAAGGCCCCCAGTGGGTCCAGGGCGAAGCCCTGGTGGGGGCCCATGGGGCGAAGCCCCCGTAAGCTCCTGGATTTTACGGAATTTTTTCAGTCATTTTACCGCAAAAGAAATCACGCTACATCCTTTTTCTCTAGCAAATACGTGGCTAAGTTAATGCCTCCATGGATACTTCAGGAAGAGTATGATACATGTAATTTAATCAATAATTATATTAATTTACGGATATATTGATATCTTCTTTTATTTCAAACTTTCAGAAAAGAAGTGTAATAAAATGTTATTCCACCAAAAAATAAAATACTAAATTTAAATCAAATATTGGGATAACATACTGAAAGCATCAATTATGAAATTGATATTTAATTAAAATCTTTAAGAAATAATTCAGTACAGAACAATGACAATTTACTGATTTTCTTTAATTGTTAAACAAAAAGACAAGGCGTCTACTTTTGCCCTGAGCAAATTCTTTCACCACAGCCTCGGCGTCAACACGCATGTCCTTGTGGGCATGAAGCATAGCTAAGCCTGATAATCGCTCTGTGGACATAGTTGATCGCATGTAACTTTTTACGCGTCTCATTACGCTAAAAGAGCGTTCTGCAGAAGCCGTGGAGACAGGCATGGAAATTAAGACAGACAACGCTGTAAATATATTTGGATAAAGGTCAGGATTTATTGAATGCAGTGTATCCTGTAGAGATGAAGGAATGTGTTCTTCATCTTCTAATGACCACCTTGTGATCCACCTCTTTACCTCTGTGTGAAATACAGCCACTGGAACGGGTATGTCAGCCTTGAAAGCTTCATACAGTGCATTAACTCTGTTGTCAGAGAGCTGTCTAAGGTTGGAAGGTATGAGGTACTGAGCTAGAAATCTCTCACCGCATCCAAGAAGACGATCATCAAGTTCCTGCAAAACATGATCATAAAAAGGAAAGAAGACAGCTCTTTTCCAATAAACATCTATCGAGTCTGCAGGTATGTTAGCCTGATGTGCCTGACGATGAGCACATCTAGGAGATGATGGTTCTACATCAATTGTAGCAGCAAAATCCACCGCCGATGCATACAAGGCATCCCACACCATGTCGTCATTACGCTCGTTTTGAATGACTGTATAGACTGCCTTTGTCTCCTTCATTGCCTCAATAAGATCCGAGTCCTTAGCCTGAAGCAATTCTGACAGGGGTGCTAGTATTTGTAAAACATGCTCGCAGACAATAAGAGGGAGAATAAAATCAAACCTCTCAATAGAACATACGTATGTGCGAGCCTTCGTATCCGACATTTCGTTTGCTAATCGATGGAGAGTGTCATTGATAACTTCAAGAGATGCTTTAAATGTAAACAACGCGTTGGCTTGCGAAGACCATCTTGTCTCACACAGAGTCTGATTTTTCTGTTTTTTTTCCATAGAAGCTTTTGCTGTATTGTTATCCTTCAGCTCCTCCTTAAACACGTTGATACGTTTGGCAGAATACTGAAACGCAAAAGCAATTTGCTGAACAATATCCATCATGTTTCTGATTAAAGGTAATTTACATGCATGGGTTATAACAAGATTTAGGCAATGTGCCTTGCAATGTGTGTAAATAGCCCCCGGAATAATTTCACTTATTCTAGCCTGCACCCCTTTTCTCACCCCTGACATGTTTGCGGCACCATCATAGCCTTGCCCCCTCATCTTATTTAGAGTTACCCCAAGTTGCCTCAGATTATTCAGAAAAGCATTAGCCAATTCCTCGCCCGTTGTCCTCTTCACCTCTGAAAAACCGACAAACTCCTTTCTAACAATTCCCTTCCCTTTATCAAAAAATCGAAGGACCATAGCCATCTGCTCCATAGTTGAAGCATCTGTTGCTTCATCAGCAATAAATCCAAAGTATGGTGATTTGTTGACATCAAGAACTCAACTATAGAGCCAGTTATTTGTTTACAGCACAGTGAAATGAGCTCATTCTGAATGTCTGGTGAGGTGTACTTGGCTCTTGGATCAGCATTTTCTAAGTGATAGCTTAAAACTTTGTCTGTTTGGGCTGTGTGGCGAAGAATTGCAATGAAATTGCTATCATCTTCTGTATGGCCACGCAATGGGATATTCTGTTGAGAACACAATACAATGACATCAATAATTCTTTTGAGAACTTGTATATTTTTTTCTACAATAGCATCATTTTTACTCAGTATAAGACCCTCGGGATCTCTTCCTGGATTTTGCAGAGTTGAAAGAAAATGCTCAGCCGCATCAACACATCCGTGGTGTTTCGAAGATGGTGCGAGATGTCTAGAAACGTATTTTGAGAAGTTAGACCAATCTCGAATAGGGGTAGAGATGAAAGATTTTTCTTTTACTTCTTTTCCTTTCTTTTTCTTCTTACACCAAACAATACACAATACACACAGTATACCCCATCGCACGAAATACTGTACCGAAGCCAGGGGTTCTCTTTAACCCATGTTGAATTGAACTTCCTCTTGCTCGCGCTGAAAAAAAAGTTTCCCAGTGTGACAAGATACAACAGAGAAGTCATTTTTCAATATCGTTATCATCGGAGTTTAAATATTTTCAAAATATATTATATAGGACGTGAATACATATGATATTCATGCAACTATAATACTCCCGTCCACGCCATTTTTCTGTAATGAACATTTCTATAATAAATTGTATAATTGAATTCTACAGTTTATTATAGGAATGCTCATCACAGAATATTGCATACAAATCACAATAAAAAGTTCTATGAATGCGCATTTTATTCCTGTTTATTAAAATGAGGATATAAATTATTTTGACAAATAGACGTCTGAACGGGGGGGGGGGGGGTATCTTGTTTACCTTTATATACTGATAGCTTAAACAAGATGAGAATGGTTAATTAATGATTCTATAAACTGGTAATAACAGTAAAAGAAAATATTCATACATGATCTTTATTATTAATATTTACTTTGTTCAGCGTAATTAAATGTTACCATTTTTTGTTTAACGAAATTTTATTCATTACCTCAACGGAAATTGAAAATCTTGTATCGTCGACCAAGACCCTTGCAGCAACTTTTTTTTTTAGATTAGTGTCCCTTAGTTCGCTTTCATTCATCAAATTTATGTCCGGATAATCAGGATTACACGGATTAACTGTTGAGCATTTTGGTTTCACGACAAGGTCTTCCTCGGGAATATTGGATGATTTTTTCGGCAATGATTTTATAAAAGACTTTAAATTTGATTGTACAGACATGCTGAATAAGATTTGAATCGGAACAATAAGACACATAATAATATGAAACACGGATAGTGCTGGATAGTAAATTCTTTTTCTCCGAATAAATCTCTCTCTCTCTCTCTCTCTCTCTCTCTCCCTCTTTTTTTTTTTTTGAAAATGATGTGTACGCACTTGCGTACTTGCGTATAGGCAGCTACGCGCCTGGTATTGCATTAGCAATACTAGTCCCCTAACGGCAAGTGTAATCTGGTTCCCGTTAAGAATTGAAATTTTCATAATTCCGTCAAAAATCAATGAAGCGGAACAAAATGCAAACTTGATTTATAACTAATCAAGGTAAAGTCACATACTAAAAATCAGCTCAATATCTGAAAGCGCTTAGAAGAAAATTGCGGAAAATCCTTAAAAATTGAAAGGGCCATAATTCCGTCAAAAATCAATGAAGCGGAACGAAATGCAAACTTGGTCTGTAACTCATCAAGATACACTCGCATACTAAAAATCAGCTCAATATCTGCAAGCGTTTAGGAAAAAAGTGCGGAAAACCAAGTGGGACAGACTGACAGACAGACAGAGGGACAGACAGACAGACAGACAGACTCAGAGGAAACCTATAGTCCCCTCCGGTTTCACAGGTAGGGGGCTAATAAGGTCATGTGATACAGTTGCATGAAATAAATATCTTTGTCTTTTATTTATCTAAAAAAAAAATCAAATGAAACGTAGTTTCAATCTTTTAATTTTCGATAGAGACTCCATCTATAGCTAACACAATCAATGAATCAAAACAGATAAACCTTCTAAGAATAAGTCGAGGGAAAAAGTTTACATGTTTTTTTTCTTTTTGAAACTTGTTTAAAGCTCAAGTTCTCAATCATCAGATCTATGTATATATAAGTTTAATGTTAAGGAAAAATGTACCCATGTTACCAATATTAGCCAGAATTGCTAATTTTTTATGTGGTACATTTGTTTAGATGATTATATTATAAGATTGAACAAGCATTCTGAGAGTATTGCATAAGCAATACTAGTCCCCTACCGGCAAGTGTAATCTGGTTCCGTTCCCGTTAAGAATTGAAAATGCCATAATTCTGTCAAAAATTAATGAAGCAGGACGAAATGCAAACTTGATCTATAACTAATCAAGGTAAAGCCACACACCAAAAATCAGCTCAATATCTACAAGCGTTTAGAAGAAAATTGCGAAAAACCCGTAAAAATTGAAAAGGTCGTAATTCCGTCAAAAATCAATGAAGCGGAACGAAATGCAAACTTGATCTGTAACTCATCAAGATACACTCACATACCAAAAATCAGCTCAATATCTGCAAGCGTTTAGGAAAAAAGTGTGGAAAACCAAGTGGGACAGACTGACAGACAGACAGAGGGACAGACAGACGGACAGACAGACAGACAGACGGACGGACAGACTCAGAGGAAACCTATAGTCCCCTCCGGTTTCACCGGTAGGGGACTAATAATTCCTAGCTCTCTGATTGGCTGAGATCCAATATATCGTAGGAAGAATACTACGTTACGTTATGTTTACCTGCAAGTGACCTTCAAGGTGAACATAAGGGGTTTTTTTTTGTTTTTTTTTTTTTACAATCGACTTAAAATAGATTGAGAACATCCAAATCAATACAAATAGTTCTGGAGAGTTATTTCATTTGCTTACGACTTCCATCAGGTAAACAGAACATTCCGGCACATAGAATCGGAGGGAGGGAAGGGCTTGCCTCTCCCTTCCCACACTTATTTTGCTAAACGTAAATTTTTACTTTTTAATTTAGTATGAAAATGTTCATTTAAAGGCTTCCCCTCCCCCGTTTATGGACCCTTAGTACATCCCCTCCCCAAGTAAATTTTGGAGTTTGGAGAATTCTGTTAAGGGGGGCTAGTCAAAGATTTTTTCAGGTAAGTTGACAATTGTTTGCCATTTAATGCCCCCCCCCCTTTCAACATCGATCCTAAGTGCCTTACATTAATTTTTTTCTATATTGCACCTTAAATAGATAGATAGAAAACCCCGATTCTCTCACTGCTTTGACTAGGACTTCAGCAAATGTAAACAAGTGAGATGGCATGGAATGCTTAACGAGTTTTTGTCTTTTAAATCGTTGAACCATATAATAAAACAATGTTTTGAGATCAATACGATGATTTAGCAACCTTTGAAGTACAATATTCACCTCGTCCTTCGGGCTCTGTGAATCTTGTACTCATCAAGTGGCTTCATCATTGAATTAACATCACAAACAACTATAATTATTGTATGTTATTTTCTGTTTCAGATAGGGACCTCGTGGTTATGGGATATGTATTATACTTCACCAGTACCCCATCCGTACATGAGTTATATTGGTATATTTTATACCTTTTGCACAACCCAGATGTAGTGGTACGCATGCGCACAGAAATTCAAGAAAATATTGGAACCAATAAGCCGATCACAATGGCAGATCAAGAAAAGCTTCCCTACTGTCGTGCAGTAATGTATGAAGTCCTGCGTTTATCTGTTACCGTCGTGGTTCCTCCGACCCATACATTCTCAGAAGACATCACCGTCAACGATTTTACTCTGCCAAAAGATGCTTGGGTAATGGCGGCCTTATGCACAGTCAACTTGGATCCAAACATTTTTCCGGAACCTGAAAAATTTAAACCAGAACGATTCATCAATCAAAGCGGCCAATTGTTTGGATATGAAAAGGTTTATGCAGCCTTTTCATTGGGTATGTTTATATACATGTACTATGTTTTTATTAAACCATAAACTTGTTAGAATTATTTACGTAAGGTCTAATTATGAAATTTTGAGCCAGATGTGTTTCTTTGATGAGACACTTACATCTATCTGAATTCGTTTTCTTTAGGTCCCAGAGACTGTCTGGCCAAAAATCTTGGTAAAATGGAAATGTTTCTTTTTCTCACAACACTGGTACAGAACTATGATATTGAAAACGAGGCTGGAAAACCTCTTCCGTCGCTGAAAGGAATGTCTAGGGGATTCCATGTTGCAATTCCCTATCAAGTTTGTTTGAAAAAGAGAGATTGAAGTAAATGTCAAAAAGGTACTTCATCCCTTTATGCATATGACAATTAAAACTTCAAACTTTAGGATACAAAATGAAACAAAGGGATGATACATTATGTTTTGGCCAGAAACTAAATGAGTAAATAGATTTCTTTTTTAAAAAAAAATGAATTATTTTCATGTTTATATTATATCAAATATGTATTTATGCCAAATGCTGCTTAAAAACTGGTAATTAAATTTCATTGCAATTTTCTGCCACTAAAAGAACTCAGAACTTCACAGCTGTATCTTTTGAAAATCATTGCAAAGTAAATGATATACAGATACTGTCCAATATATATATGTCAATTGACCCTAAAATGTCCATGTTGTTTATTTTATCTTGTCTCTATATAAAGGACACATTCTTCCTCAAATGAAAAGTTGTTTCTTGGCGTATTGTTTAGGTTTGTCTCATTTGCGAATGTGTAGGTTGAAAAAAGTATTAGTCTGTCTGAATAATAAGGGTATTATGATTGATATTTTTTATTTACTATAAAATGGAAAAATTCATTTAAGTATTCAAACTAACAAAATCCACAAATACATTGAGGTCCCTCACACACAAAACAGAGAGAAAAAGAGTCTTGCAGTTAAACATAAATACATGTACACATTCCGCTAAAAAAGCCTGCATATTGTGCTGTTCTTGACAGACCAAAATTTCCATAATTAGTAAAAGCGAAAGTGTCGTTGATTGGATTGGAGCAAGCACGCAGAAATTTAAAATTTTCGAATCAGTATCTTATTGATAAAGATGCATTATTAAGCTCTAAGGATGAAATTCTTCAAAATCACATTTCAGTCTTTAATACTTTAACATTCTAGTCAACGAAGGTGAGTTCTATCTATCCTACCTATACTGGATTCCTAAACGTCATAAAATCTTACAAAGATAAATTGCCGAGTCCAGCAAGTGCTCTACCAAGCCCCTATAGTTACTCCTCAACAAAACAAAAAATAACTGCTTTAAAGGAGAAACTTCAAACGTACTTTGGTACACCCAATCGCAACTTTGTTTTCTAGGGCCTTTTTGACAAGCGGAAAAACAACCTCGAATGTGTTACGTAGATGTCCAAGACAACCCCCTTCTCATAAGCATTGAAATAAATGTAGGGAGACTCTTATCTGTAGTGTATGAAGCTTAACTTCACTGAAAATTTAAAATCACAAAACTGTCAAAAGTTAGTAACATCAAAAGGTATGACTTTTCTACACTTTATACAACTATTCCTCACGATAAATTTAAAAAAAAAAGGCTTTATGTTATCATAGACAACTACTTCTTCAATAAAAATGGAACTTGGAAATTTTCATTTTTGTTTTGTAATTAGTCATCAACAAAATTACTTTGTTAAAAATCATTCCGACTCTACACACAAGTACTCTGAAGTTAACATTAAAAAGGTTGTTGGAGTTCCTCATTTACAATATCTATGAAGTCTTTGGAGACCAGGGCTTCCAACAAAATGTTGGAATTTCGATGGAAACTTATTGTGCTCCTTTTTTAGCCAACCTGTTTTTATATTCTTTTGAAGCAGAATTTATTTAGAATCTTCTGCTTGAGAAGAAGAAAACACTTGCTGTCGCCTTCTACTCGACATTAAGATCTATCGAGGACATTTTATCAACTTATAATTGTTACTTAAATTCATACGTCGAATTGATACAAAATTAAAGACGCTTTCGAGTCTGTCACATCTGTTTCATATTTGGAATTATACTGACTTTCTACAATAAGAGTTAACTAACGACTAAATTGTATAATAAACGAGATAACTTCATTTTTTTATCGTCAACTTTCCTTATTGCTGTAGCATATTTCACAATCACTAGCATATGGATTTTTATGTCTCCCAACTTATTTACTCAAGAGCATGCTCTGAGTACGATCAATAAACCGAGGCAGGCTACTGACAGACAAGTTGATGTTACAGGGATTTCAACAACCTCGTAAAGTCAGCATTTCGTAAATTCTGTGGTTGTTATGACAACGTTGTTAGCAAATATAACCTTCCGTTGTTAGACTTATAGGTAAGCTTATCCCAACCGGAAAATATTCGTGTTGCAAGGTGTGACGAAAAATGACGTCCACACCCACGGTTACTTCCTTCTTACTCCCTTTTTTTAGGTTTTAGTGACAAGCAGTAAGAAAATGGGAAAAATCTTTGAACAGGGTAGGGGTGAAACCAAATTTAAAAGTTTGATCCATGTCTTTTCATTCTCAATTTCGTATTTTGAAATTCAATTCTATGCAATGTATTCATTGTCTGAGTGCCATTAAGTCCCCCATCTACTTTGAAATCATCATTGTTAGTGGAGGGCCAATGTTCATGGATTTCGTGGATCACCTTTAACCCTGAATCAACATCCCAACGAACTACAACTATGTCAACGTATCGTTTCATTGAATCTTAAATGTAAACAAATTATAACAAAACCTCGAACCAGTAAAATTTTGGTTGTCAGCGAACATTGACCCCACAAATTAAATTATATTCATTTTTAGCTATTTCGACATACATGCAATTGTTTATTAATAATTAAAGGACAAGAAAATAAGCGCCAGCTTCAAATTGACCTGGTCAGCGCAGCCTTGTCAATCACGCAAATTCGGATCCACGATTGCGTTCTAGAAATTGATTGACATTGAATAACTAATCCCAATGTATATCTCGTGGCAATCATCAAATTAACTTCAGTTATTTTATGCTTACCGCATATACCTGTGCGACAAAAGGATCACTATTGATACGAAAATTTTTGACTTGATTATATACTGGAAAAGAAAGTCAAGTATCTGCTGAGAAACACAGAAGGGAGAAAACATTATGTTACCAGTGCTATATGCAATTGAATCAGATAATTGAATGGTATATACTCAAAGGCAGATTTGTTTAAATATCACATGCTCTGAACTCATGGAAGGTTACATACTTTCCAATCATTGTTTTTATCATAAAAGTATGAGTTTTCCAAGACCGAGTTATTCGAAGGGTACTATTGAACGACTTATCCAACTAGCCTAGACAAAATTTAACAAAGCCCGACGCCGTAACATCAGAAAATTAGAATGAGGCCCTTTTGCAGTCAGTGTCATTTTTGACAAATTACGAAAAACAGAATTTCTGAAAACCAGTTCGTGCATTAATTTTCCATTACCAAAAAAATTAGTCGCACAAATGGAATCTCATTCATGAATGTACATGCAGTGGAATAGCTTACCAAATTTTTAGTCTAGTCAAACTCGAAGCTAGGACAAGAGGTAGATTTTTTAAATGTCTGAATTACACGGTTAAGTGGATATTATCTTTAAAATGAAATACAATGTATTCTGTCTGTAGCTGATATGACACAATGGACAACAAACAACTGCCTTTGTTGAGAATAGAGGAACCTCGACTCCTATGTAATAAAAGGAAGCCTTCATTAGTCTCAGGTATGATGGCTTGATTTAAAATGGAAACAGTTCTTCTACTTTTAACAGATTTTATAAAGACTCATGTTGGATGAAAATTAGTTCAGTGCGTAAATGTTAGAACGAACATACGAAAAATGATAGTACGGAATTAAAATAACTCATCATTACTGCCTTATCGTTAATTGAATAAATATAATAAATAAGTTCCAAGTTTCAAAAGTTTCAAGTGTAATGTTATTGCTGATGTGAAAGTTCAAAAAAATATATTGATTTTAAAAAAGGAAGAAGAAACTCAGTCATTTACAATTTTCTGTGGGCGAAACAAGATTTTTTTCTTGAAACATCTATGACCTTGGTGTTTGACCTACTTTTCAAAATCTTTAGGCAAACTCGACCTTGACCATACCTTTTGAATGGTTGGTACTGCGGCTTTCATATAAGCCTCCGTAAGCCTCTTAAGCCTCCGTAGTCGGAGATTCGGCGGAATATACACGTAGTTTTTGGTCTGTCTGTCTGTGTTTCTGTTTGTCTGCCTGCAAAAACTTTAACGTTGTCTATATCTTTTGAATGACTTGTGCTAAGGTTTTCATATTCAAAACATGTTCCTTGCTTTTTTTCGGGTATCAATATTTTTGACCTCATGACTTTAACCTTTTAGTTTGACTTTCATTAGAAAAACTTTAACCAAACTTTCACATTGGCCATAACTTATAAATAGTTGATGGTACGGCTTTCATATTTCACATGTGTATTTTTTGTGAAAAGACCTTTATTTGGGTACTAACATTTTTGACCTCATCCCTTGACCTTGGAGATTTGTCCAACATTTGAAAAAAACTTTAATCTTGGCCAGAACTGCTATACTGTTGATGCTTGGACTTATATATTTAAGTGTATTCCTTATAAAAAGACCTTTCTATGGGTATCAACATTTTGACCTCATGACCTTCACCTTGGAGTTGACATACTTTTAAAAGTTTATCCTTGGCGATGAGTTGCCATACGGGGGCATTAGTTTTTCACAAACACTCATTGTTTTTATTTAATATATATTGTCAAATCGATAAAATTAAGTATCGATTTACAGGTCTCTTTTTCGCACCTAGACTTACTTTTTCTTTTATATCTTTCATACACATATATATATATGGAACTCTTCATATATGAATACTCATGGATTAAAGGGGTCTAGACAGTTGCATTGTTTACATTTTAAATGTCTATTTTTATTCAAAAGCAACTTCAGTTTTATGATTTAAACTTACATGCATATTCTAAGAATTCAATGACAACGACATTCTTCAACATCACGTCAAACATCTGTGTATGTAAACAGTGCAGGGGCTTTGCTATTGTTAGTGTTTATCTTTTATCGGGTATGTTCAAATTGTTTAGTTTGCACACATCACTAAGCACGGACTGACAATACTGGTTAGTTGGCTTTGCTTTCTCGCATTTCCACTCTAGAATTTTCAGGATTATAGTTTTCATATTTTTCATTAAAACACAACAACATTTTTACCTTTCTTAAGTATTACGGATAAAGTTTACTTCGTAAACATGCAAGGGTATGTATCAACCAAACGCGTCCCAAAATTCGGAATTTTAATAATTTCCAGAGAAAAGAAGATTCTAAATACGCTTTAATATATTTCAGTGTGAAATGGTCCAGCAACGTATAAGCCATGATATAATATTAAAAAGTTTAGAAAATATGAGCTTCAAATCTGTGTCCCAGCCTCTTTAATTAATAAAAATGAAATCATAATCTTTAAAAAAAATTAACAGCCCTCTATTCACTCATGTAAAATAATTGCTGATCATTTTCCTTCAAAAATCTAATTTAATATTAAAATACACTAAATACACCCAATTTCAGCAGACCTTGCAAAGTTTGAAAGAAATGGCTTTTCAACTTAATATCTTTAAGAGGAATAGAAGTGATTTATCCCAAGCAGAGCT